CCGTTTCTTGGTTTGTTGGAGGCCTCACTGCATTTCACATATACTTGATCCTCACCAATCAGGTTCTCTTCTCTTTTAATTTACTTGTTTCCTTTAAATTTCATAGCTTGTTTATCTTTATTGGTTCATGTATGCATGCTCTCTCCCTTTGTTGCAGACAACATATGAAAATTTTCGGTACCGGTACGAAAGGAAAATGAATCCCTACAACGTTGGCTTTGCCCACAATTTTAAGGAGATTTTTTGCTCAAAAATACCGGATTCAAAGAACAACTTCCGTGCAATGGTGAAAGTGGAATTGCCATCAAGCTTCAACACTTCTGCCTACCCAAGCCGAGCTACTAGCCCAGAAATGCCCAACATGAGCCATAACATAGATATTGAGAAAAGGCAAGGTATTGAGAAAGGCGAGTTTGAAGACTTGCGAAGGCAGATTAGGAGCATGGGTGACTTAGAGAGATGCGAACCTCACACTTTGCGCAATAATAAGAGGGAACACCACAAATCCACTTGGGAGATTGGTCCTGATTCACATGTAATGAATGTTAAGTTTCGGGATGAAGATGGTATAAAGCATTGAGGGATCGAAGATTGAAATGTGTGCATATATGCCCCAGAGATTATAATTTTGTCTTTCAAAAGTGGACACCTTATTGATCTTTAGGGATTCTGAAGATTCAGTTCCTTGGGAATGAGAGGAGTAATATGATATCTCAGCTACCTTGTGGAAAGTGATGAGGAAGTACTAAACTGTTTGTAATGCCAATGGAATGCTGTTCGGTATGCTTATTTAAACTGTACTCCGGAGTCTGAAGCAGTATATCTTTTAGCAATTCACATGAATCCCAGGATCAGAAAGAGTTCGAGTCTCTTTAGGAATTCTTAAACTGGAAGTGCAGATAATTTTCTTTTTGGAAAATGACTTCTATATATGGAAATGGGCTTTCATTTTCTGTTGTTTAGACCTTAGATGGAATAGAGAAAGTTGCTTTCTTTAGTACCAGGGACATTGCATTTTTTCAGAATGCTTTAAATATACTCGTACGTAGTTTTAAAACTAGATTCATACCCGCCGGGGAAAAAATTCATTGCAAAATAAAAATAACAAAATATTCGAGGTTTGCAAATCAAAATTTGTAAACCACTACAAATCCAAAATTCTTGAAGTTAAACATAAAATTTATTTATTTATTTACTTATTGGTTTATTTATTTTGTTAGAAAAAAAGAAAAAATGACTATCTTAAGTATTCATTTTTTAATTTTTTTATCCCAATTGCATACATTGCGGAGTAGTTCCATAGTTCAAATTTTTTCATATAAAAAAATACTTCTTATTTCTAATAAAAAGTTATTTTTACCCATTATTTTTTTTCATACCCTATCTATCAAATCAAACATTTTTACTAATAATCTACCCATCAAATCCTACTTTTACTCATCACATCAAAAGACTTTTTTGGAAATTCAATACCAAAATACATTTTTTTTAAATCTCTTAAAAACCAATAACTCCCATATTTTTAGAACCGGAGGGAGTAGTTGAAAACTCACGAAGAAAATATTTAGAAAATGATTCTTTTAATGTAAAAAAAAGTTGTGTAAAAACTAAGCTAAAGAGTAACGAAAAAAATACAGAGTAAAAAATAAAAATTATTCTAGAGCATATACCTTTGAAGAAAAAAGGATTCTTTTGATATACTTCTTTTGACCAAGTTAGTTTTTCCCCATATATATTATTTTCACACAATCAAACGTATTCCTTTTTTAAAGATTATTTATTTGCATTACTTAATTCATAATATAATATAGTCATGTCATATCTTGTTTTATACTCCGAATAAAATTTTATCCAATTTTTAAATATCAAGGTACATGCATGAATTTAGTTTTTGAACTTTATATCTACAATCAAATAAATTGAATTGAAAATAAAATTAATCAAACCTCGTAACACGAAAAATTAAATAACCAACTTGGAGGAAGAGAGTACTATGTACTCGGTGGCAATGCCAATCCAGAACATGCCTTAAATTTGGATGAGAAATGTTACAGTTACAAACTCAACTATCACAAAATATAATCATGAATTTACTTTTTGATGAGGTGTACAAATACTAAGATTGTATATTTTATAACATGCATGGCATTTCTCAATTTGGATTTGGAATGCAGAATGTTCAACAAAATAGACTTTGCAGTTTGCACATATACTCTTGGTTTGGGCGAGAAAAAAATATTAAAAAATTAGGCCTGAATTCTTTTGCTTTTGTATATAGTATAGTATAGTATAGATGATTAAATTTTCATGCATAACACGTTGGTTTGATTTTGAATATAACTACCATTCATTGTGTTTTTCAAAAGAATGAATATATGTGGCTAATCAATGTAAAAGAATTAAAGGTCCGATCTAAATCATTCCTGCTCTGAATCTATTACCGATTATGTTAATTCTATTCGCACCAAAGTTAATGAGTTGGCTTTATTGGGAAAGCCCATGGATGATGAGGATGTCATTGAAAAAAATATTGCCGAATTGTATGAAAAGTTAATTAACAAAGAGCTCATTGAAACACCCCAAACTCGTGTGACCCGAAATACACGGACTAGTGAATCAAATTGTCACTAAATTGGCATCCAAACACATCATAGTTACAAAATAATTTAAAATATTTAATTCAAAAAACAATATTTATAAATTCATCGGGGTAATGTAAAACTTGTGATGAAAGCCCTTGGATTATAAACTTTAGTGCTTCCTTCCATTTACTACACATAGAAGTTTCTTCTCATCCTACCAAAGTGGTGACTTTGGTAGACTGCAAATGGAAAATCAAGATAAGAGCAACATCATTGGGAAAAAAAGATATCATTCTGAAATCAAGTACCGGATGCAACTTTGTACTAAAAGATGTGAGGCATGTATTAGCTATGTGCCTCACCCTTATTTTTATTGGAAAACTAGACGATGCTAATATGATGAATTACTTTGGTGAAGGAATGTAGAAGCTCACCAAAGGAAGTTTAGGCAGCGTTTCGTTCAACTTATTTTTTCTACTTATTACTTATTCTTATTATAATCAGATCAGACCAAATTAGATCAGATCAAATGAGATAAAAAAACAACTTCAATTATAACTACAATTAGATCAGACCAGACCAGATCTTCAAAAAATCAGATCAGATCAGAGGAGGCAAACGGAACGCAGCCTTAATCATGGCTCGATGAAAGAGCGATCATTATATGTGATGCAAGCCAAGCTCTGCAAAGACGAGATAAATATTACTTCTGTTGATATGGAGGTATGACATGAAAAACTTGGGCACATTAATGAGAAAGGTCTTCACACGCTGGCTCGAAAACATCTCCTTCCATTAACTCGATTTAGCTTGAGTTACAATGGATATTTCATCCCCTATTTATAGTCTAACTTTGCTATGCATATGGTTTATAAATCGTGTCCTACGTTCTCGGTATGACTGGCCCGACGTGTTATATATTTTAATATAATTGGAATAATTATTTGACCAATGGTATCATAATAATCATAAAAAAAAATTTAGTAGTATGGAGTGCATGCTTCGTTGAGTTTGTTATGATAAAAGTTCCATTTTAACAGGGGTACCAAGGGGGCATCGCCCCCAAGCAGGGTTCAAGGGGCAGCAGCCCCTACGGGGTCCAAGGAGCAGAGTGCTGTGTTTAAACTTCACTTGAATTTTAACTTCGGAATTTGGGTATTAATTTTTTCCCCAAAAAAATGCGCCTCTTCTAGTTTCCCCGCAACTAGACGCGGATGTTAGAAAAGAGATGCGACTCCATCTCTTCTCATCTCTACTTCTATAAGAATCCATCAAAAGCATGGTCGAAATACACAGAGTTCGAAAATTCATCATACTACATACTTGTTCTTGATCCACAATTTGAGTTTTATCCGATTGATTTTAGAGTGAACGCTCAAATAATCAATCTGAAAGTGTTATCACGACTCTCAAACAAATCTGTGTCATTTACGATTTCCCCAACACGACGTGCGTCAATTATGGGCGGAAATCAGTAGTTAATTAACCACAATCAGTGGGATTGGCGCTCCACTCATATTCCGATCCGGGCTCGAGTGCCTAAGCCGCACTCCCCTTGGCCCACTTGATACTCAGATCCATCCTTAGCATGAAATCGAGCCTATCATCATACTGGGTCCCGAGCAGCAGGTTGGGCCTATTCTCTCTACTCATTAGGCCCGGTTAATACTAATATACATCATTTAATTTTATCTAAAACTCTAATCTTAATCTAAAACAATATTTTCAAGCAAAACCTAAAATGCACACCCCATTGTGTGATTTGTGTCAACTCCAATTTGATAACATTGGTTCGTGAAACTCAACCTAAGTGGCCAAGTATACCACGATTTACTAGAAAGTAGGGACAGGGGAGAGGGGAAAATATTGTTTCCGTGAATATTTTTATGAAGAGCAATGCTTGGGATACACCAAAGGTGTACCTCATTTGTCCCCCACCCCTTTCTCCACCATTTATTTTTATCTCATTTTTATTTATTTAATATTTTTTAAGTTTCTTGCCCATTTTTGTTGTAATAGAGGGAGTGAGAGACAAATGTGGTAAATCTTTGGTGTACTCCTAGCATTTTTCATTTTTTCTTCTATGAAAGGAAGGGGGGCGTGGGCCGTGGGTGGTACAATAAATTCTGGTAAAACTAAAACTAGTGTGAGGCCAAAGATGAGTCTTTTCCTTTTCCAGTTTCAGCCTTTAGTAAAGTTGCTTACTTACTCATCTCTCTCTCTATCTGTCTTCCCCACAGCTCTGAGTTTGGGTNTTTCTTGCCCATTTTTGTTGTAATAGAGGGAGTGAGAGACAAATGTGGTAAATCTTTGGTGTACTCCTAGCATTTTTCATTTTTTCTTCTATGAAAGGAAGGGGGGCGTGGGCCGTGGGTGGTACAATAAATTCTGGTAAAACTAAAACTAGTGTGAGGCCAAAGATGAGTCTTTTCCTTTTCCAGTTTCAGCCTTTAGTAAAGTTGCTTACTTACTCATCTCTCTCTCTATCTGTCTTCCCCACAGCTCTGAGTTTGGGTTCTGAAGAAGAGACAGGTGATAGATCACCGATTCATTGTAGTCTGATGCTGATGAGTTTCACTATTATTCCTTCCTGCATTTCCTTTCTTCACTGTAAGTGCATAATTCTCTTGAATTGTTTGTAATTCCTTCATTAACTGCAAAATATATGTATATTGTTCACAATTCTTCTGCATACCCATTATCTAGATTAACTTTATCATTGTTTTGGGTTTCGTCTTTTTTACTTTTAGAAATATTATTAGCTAAATTCATTGTCTATAAGTTCACTAACTTACGAAATCTGATCTTCTTTTCTTCATATCTTGTTTATGTGTAAATCAAAGAAACAATCTTAAAATGGTCTTAGTGATTTTGTTATTCACACTGCATGTATGCATATTTCAGAAATCTGGACATCTATTTTCTTTTATTTGTAATAATGAGCACTTAATTTTCCGTGGTGGTTCAGGATTTCCATTTATAGATTATGTACATTCATTTTCATAATTTTATTCAATGAGCCTAAAGTGAATGTGGGGAGTTGGGTTGCGTTTGACATTAGCTTTACACTATTTTTTGTTCAAGGAATTTGAAAGGGAAAGGAAAAAAAATGAGATGGAAAGAAATTTTTCATGTTTGGTTTGAGTTGAAAAGAAAAGAAAAGAAAAGTAGAAGTAAAAGAAAATGAGTAGAAGTAAAGGAAAATTGGATTTCTTCCATTTTGGTGAGGAAAAGGGGAGAAATCATTTTCTTTTCCTTTCCTTCCAAATTTCCTTGAACCAAACATAGGGTTAGCGTTTTGAAAATGATATGCAAGAGTTTCTATTGGCATTAGCATTTTAAACACCATAAATTATCCAAGATGCTTATGCTAATCACAAACGTTGTTCCCAACAAAGCCTTAAATAATGAGAATCAGTACATTGATTTTCTTAGCTTTAGCCTGAAATGCATGTGAGGGCTAATAGTATCCAGGATCTTCATTTATAGTAGTAAACACAAATTTACCAAAAGAAAAAAAACAAGCCATCAGCAAAGGAAAGAGATAATGACTCGTGTTTTAATCTGGCTCCAGAAAATGAAAATGCAGAACTTGCAGAAGAAAAAAAGTTTTATCTATTTCCATTCCATAGGTGAAAAGTAACATAAAAAATAGATCTAATGCCTCTCCCACTCTTTCACTCTATACATCCATTGATTTAATTCTTTTTGCTCAGATTGAATACATATTTGATTGCTTTGATGAACAGAACTTAACGGGGAAATGACTAAGGTAAGTCCAGAACTCGTAGGGGGCGAGGTGCAGATGTACACATTCAAATCAGTGTCTGCAGATGTAAGCTTTGTTTCTAATCAGTTCCCCAAATACAAGCTCGGGCCCGATTTTCAGATTTTAGAGGACACATTGTTGGAAAACAGAGGTCCATCCCTGAAGGAGGTTGTTGAAGAAGAAACTGGTCGGCTAACAGATCAACACGAGCGTCTCTCTGTACGTGATCTAGCTAGCAAATTTGACAAGAATTTGGCATCTGCTGCCAAATTAGCCAATGAGGTTGTAAATTCAGCTACTAATTATCTTCTTCTTTTTTGAAAGGGCTGCTAATTATCTTTACGAGTAAAGAAATGCTGTTCAGATTCTGAGAAATTGTTTTTATAATGTTTTTGCTTTTTTTCATTGAGATATTTTTAGCTTCAAGGATGATATGTTACTTGATTAGCTTCAACATTACTTTTGCATGGATTCAGGCTAAACTAAGAGATGCCCCTTCTTTAGAGGGACATGTCCTTTTGAAGAAACTAAGAGATGCACTGGAAACTCTGAAAGGAAGATTGTCGGGTCAGAATAAAGAAGATGTCGATATAGCCATTTCAATGGTTAGTCATTGCTGGTACCACCTAGAGTTACTGTTTAAAACATATTTGCTTTAGGGAAATAATAGACTAAATCAAAATGGCACATTGAATTTCCTTTGCTTCTTACTTTCTATGACGTTTAGGGTAGTATAAGCAACAATGCATCATGGGTCTAAGAGGAACAGCCTCTCTATTTATTAGAGGGGTGAAGCTGCATAGTGCATACATTACCACTGCCCAGACCCCAACAGAGTTGGGAATATACTGAGTTTGTTGTTGTTTTTGTTGTTGTATGGCCGGAACATATATCCAAAATCTATATTTTCATGTATTAATGTTGTTTTAAAAAACAATCCAAGCATAAGTGGCTTTGTTTTAGTTGGGACTATACTGGGCTAGTTGTTGTTTTTGTTGTTGTTGTTGTATAAGCTGCTTTGTCTTGTTTAGGTGGAAGCCTTAGCTGTACGGTTAACTCAAAAAGAAGGAGATCTTATACAAGAGAAGTTTGAAGTGAACAAACTTGTGAGCATTCTAAAGCAGGTGATGCTATTTTCCTTCTGCACCACCACTGACCTGAACAGTGAAATGATTGAGATCTCTAGTATTGGTTTTTAAACATATTGATTCATATGGAAGCATGTTGGTATGAAAATGCAAAATGAATCCTTATATAGTGTTATGAGAAAAGAAACACAAACGAGAAAAATGAAGCAATAGTCTCTCTATGATCTACAGGCGTCAGAAGATGCTAAAAAGTTGGTTAATCAAGAGAGATCTTTTGCTTGTGCTGAAATAGAAAGTGCGAGAGCAGTTGTGCAAAGAATTGGTGAAGCCCTAGAAGAACAAGAAGCAGATGATAGAACGGCAGGGAAACAGGTGCTTGTAGGATTGACTTTTGTATTTTATTTCCATTGAGAGTAACAAATTCTAGTAGTTCCCCACGGGCTTGAAATATTGAAGTGAGTGTAGTGAAATCTCCCTTCACTGTGACAGTTGAAACATGTTTTCTGTAGCAGGAAGTTGAGGAATTAATGGAGGAGGTTCAAGAAGCTAGAAGAATTAGACTCTTGCATCAGCCCAGCAAGGTATATACAAATATGCATTTGTTAGACATATTCATGCGGATTTCCAGCTAAGATTCCATCTTTTTCTTTTTTGGCAGTAACATGCATATTGTTTTGTAGTCATTTTGTTACTTTATACTGTGTATGAATAGTTAAATTCAAAACAGAATCTTAGAGCATACGTAGAGGTTTGTGTACATCTCTACATCCCCACCCCGGAGCACTTTATATGAAAAGGAATGATTTGTAATCCCATGCTCTTGACTCCCAATTCGAATTGAAACTAAGTTCTTTGATGTGTCTTCTAGAGGCTTTTTTTCACAAGAGGTACCCTAACTTTTACGATTGTAACAAAAAGGTACCCCATCTTAAGTTTGTAACAAAAACATACCCCATCTTTTAAATCTATAACAAAATGGTACCCCTCACCAGAAATGATACTCTCCGGCGAAGAACTAATGATGTGGCATCCATGTTGGCATACCCCCTATCCTTCTCTCTCCTACGTGTTAATTATATGTTTTCTTCTTAAAAATTTTTTTCTTAAAAATTTTAGAAAAATATTTTTATGTTCAATAAAAAACATATTTTTTATGACAATATAAGATTAATTTAAATAAAATTGTTCATGTATTAAAATTTTTAAAATAACAATTATTTCTTTGCAAACAAGTTTCTTTTGAATTATATTTGGAAAATATAATTTTTTATTTAAAAAAATGAATTAAAGAGAGGATGATGCATTACCCATCAAGATAACCAAACTAAAATGTGTAAATAGAATAAGAAATCCAAAATAAATAAATAGATAAATAACGTATTTTAGCAAATGTAAAATTTCCAAAGTCAATCTTTAGAAGCTAACTAGATGTGCATGTTTACTTAATAAATGCCAACCTCCATATTAGCATTCCAACCAAAAACATCTACTACAACGATTGGTCAAAATAAAAAGTCAACTATTTAAGTATGATACAAGTTTCACATTCAAAAAAATAGAACAGATGCAAAAACACTTCTTTTCTTGGCGCTTTTTTCTACGTAGCCTCTGATAGCCTCTGATTCTTGTTCTTCGAGAAGTAACTTCAGTGGTTGAACACCCTTGGATACCCTATACATGACAAACTACATTTAATAAAAACTAAACATGTACTCCGGCATACCTTAGTGCATTTAAAAAGCAAACAAAGGTTACAACGTAACCTCTTATGGCAAATTGACAATTATTCCGCTGCTTTCCTACAATGCAACATTTGCATTTTAATTATTGAATCTCATAATAATAATTGCAATACAAATATAATTACCAGAT